TGCTCCTGTTCGTCGCCCACACGTCCGAGGTGGACTTGGGAGCATTATTCGTCGAGGTTAACAGCCTTCAGAGCCTTGTCGCTCCATTTCACCGCCATCACCTCTCCCTTCTCCTTGGCCTCAACGTCGTGCAGTGCATAGAACTTCATCATCAGGAGAGTGGCCTCATCATCCTCATCAGCCTACGCTAAATGAGTCTTAGCCTTCTTCTCCTGCTTATGATTTGGGCACTCCTTTACCTAATGGCATGTCTTCCCGCAACACCAGCAGGCGTTGGGGTCAACCTTCTTCTTCTTCGAAGAAGCCTTACCACAACGCTTGCCATCGCCACCGCGGCTAGAGGAGGCTTCCTCGGGCTTCTTCCAGGCAGCCCACTCCTCCGTCAGCAGCAACTTGCCACTGTCCATCGTTGTTGTGGCCTGCTCCATGCACTCGTCTACCGTCCGTAGACGACCTGTCACATTCTCAATGGAGAGGGTGGATAAGTCCAGCATCATCTCTATGGAGAGAGCGATCTGGATGTACTTCACCGGCATAGAGTGGAGGTACTTGGAGACCGCCTCTTCTTCGTCGATGGTGATGTCGTGGCTACTCAACTTGCTGATGAGCGACTACAGGCGGAGGGAGAAGTCCTCCACCGACTCACCATCCTTGAACTTGAGGGTGGCGTACTCCTGATTCAGCAGCCGGGCCGTCGCCTTTTTGCGCGGTCGGAGCCGACGCGCATCGCTGCAATGGCCTCCTTAGCAGAGTTCTTCGCCCCCAACGACTCCCTGTACTCTGCTGGCACAGTAGCGAGATAGCCTCCAACGCTGACATATCGTCTTCTTCGTTGTCGGTGCCCTTATCAATGGCATCCCAAAGCTGTTGGGTTCTGAGCTTGACCTTCATGGTCACCGCCCACTCGTCATAGTTAGTGCGAGTCAGTGTCGGCCAACTGGTGCCGCTCACCTCCCGCACCGTGCGCACGATGACCTCCTGTCGTGGCTGGGCAGCCACAGCAGCGCCGCTGCTGTCGCCTATCTCCAAACCGTCTGTCATCGCCAGCGGTTAGTCTGGCGACCGCGCTTGTACGGCTCTGATACTACTTGTTGGTCTCGAGATCTCCGGTACGGGTGAGCCGACCGCTCACCGTCGTTGCCGAGCACACACACTAAGGCCGGAGGTAAAAGAAGGAAGGGAGAACAGAGCGCACACACGCAACACAAGCACCAGCATTGGCTGGAGCTCTGCAGAAGAGATGGCAAAACTGAATTCGCTTAACTTTACCGAGTTACAGTGGGAAGCTATATATACAATTTTACTCATCTAATCCTAGTACACAGGCATGCCAGGCTGACAAACTGCTACAGTGACTAGATGTGACAGCAGAGCTGACTTTAGCGCCTGCCCCTGCTGTGGCTACAGTGCGACAGGGGAGACTTTCGACGCCTGCCCCTACCGCGGCTATAGTGCAGCACCAGGGGACACCTTTCAGCGTCTGCCCCTGCCGCTTACAAAGCCGATGAACTGTCGAAGGACCACGACTCTGAACCGGTGGTGAGCGCGAGCTCGAGGCAAGTCTGCGGACTGGATCTACCCCTTCTCTTCTCTTCTTCCTCCTCCCAACTACCAGTTTATGTATCCATAATATTCTAGTGTGTTCTAGAGACTCGATTTGTGTTACTGTATTCGATTTGTGAGTTGGATTCGATTGAGGTCGGTGACAGACTTGTCTAAATGCACCTGTGCTGGACTGAACACCCTTGAAAACAAGGTCAAATAGCTGGTGCTGAAGATGCTGAATAAGCTGTGGGACAAGGAGGAACCTGACCTTCCCTGGCAGTAGGGGGAGTTCTCGCACTCAAACACCCTCCTCGTGGACGATTCCCCTTACAAAGCTCTGCGCAATCTGGTACTGCCTTTTTCCCCTTCGTTCCTACTTCATACGTAACGTCTACCACAGCTGGTAATGCTCGCTACTGGACTTGGCTCTATATACTTCACACACTTGACACATGCATTGTCTCCCTTTGATGCATGTCTGCTGTGCAGCCGCACACCGCCATTTTCCCTTGGCCCTACAGCTACAAGAACGACAAGGACGATGCACTGGGTAACAAAATATAATAAGCTTCGGTCGACTTCGTCAGACACTCAGACTAGTAATAAAATAAGGCGTAGTTACATTCTGCTTAGAATGTAGTAGTACATAATTGAAGAGTGGCTAATGTTATGGGTTAACAATGCCCCATGAGCAGGACCTGGTGGAGAATTTCGCTTGTACCTGGAGACCCTTGCCACTGCAGACGATGTTCAGCGTTACGTCAGGGAGCACCGTTTTGGTCAGCCCCCCATCACGGAGAGTGACCCGGACTGGAACTTCTACAAGCGAATACTACTACGACTCGAGTAGATAGAAGAAAGGAAGCAATCGCTGAGGCTGCTGTTGAAGAGAAGGTGGTGGAAGAGGTAGCAAGGCTGAGTTGCAATGCAAGCAATTTCGATGGTCAATTTCCCTGACGTTGTTGTCGTCCCTGCTAGCAGGATCAGATGCAGTCACTTGTTTGTCTGTGTTTTTGTATTGGATATTATGACATGCCAGCATTCAGTTTTTTCAGTACGTTGTCTTACTGAATTGGGTGTTATTATGAACGAGCTTGGTGCTCCCATTTTCGATTACACTTGCATGTTTGCTTGTAGCAGTAAGTAGGTCAAAATCGTTTCATGTTCTTCCTTTAAAAAAAACTAAAAAAAAAAGTTTCATGTTTCTTCAACTGAAGCCCACACCGGCCCAGGCACCAGTAGCCTAGCTTCCTGGAGGACTCACTGCCCAGTAGCAGCAAAAGCAACCACACCACGGCCCAGCTCTCATAAACTCTCCGCTCCATACGACCCGCCGCCACCGCCGCGGGTCTACTCCGTCCGCGCCAGGCGGCGGCCGTCACGCTCTCTCTAGACCAGCGCAGCGACCGTCACCGACTCGCCACCGTCCCCCGGCGCCAGCGGAGGCCAGGATGGCATTCATCGCTAGAGGTGCAGGATCCTCCTCCGCATTCATTTGTTGTCGGTTTTCGCTCTTGTCTGATTGTAGTTGCGCACCAAAAAAAATTCTACTTTGGAAATGTATGTTTGGTGAAATTCTGAATCTGGCATCCGTAAAAAGAGGGGTATACATAGCTCCCAGCTGGAGATCCACTGTCAAAATCAGCCTGACTAGTATTTTGTTTTTTTTTCCCCTTATTCAAGTTTGAATCATGTGCCTCCAGTATTTTCGGTCACGCCCTTTTCGTATTTTGGATGCATCTGCACTCAACTCACATGATTGGGATGGAGAAGAAAGCCAGACAGATTCCCACTGATTTTCCAAAACGATGTTATTAGCCAGCTGCTTCCGATCAATCACATCACATCATTACCGAATCTCGTATGTGAATGCCTTTTGGTTCCTTTGTGAACGCAGGATGCCTTCAGGGCGTGTGTTGAAAAATGCCTTTTTCTTCTTCCAACTATATGCACAGTGCTGATTGGTAGAAAAATTAGATGGGTCCCTAGTGATTCTGACAAATGATGTTACAGACAGCATGTGGTTTCTTTTCTGGTGCGTGTTAGATACCAAGATTTTGCTACTATTTTGGTAGTATTTCTAAGTTTTGCAGCCTCTTAATTTGTACTAGATGTGATCGACTGACCAAAAGCTTGTGTTGTCACTGTCAGCAACTGGAGTAGAGGAAGGAAGAAGGCGCAGGCTGCAATCTGCATGTTAGGAGGAAGCTGCTGGACATAGCTTCCGGCATGGCATCCGGTTTGCATACTAGAGCCTTCAGTCGGGATACCTGGCACCACTGCTTGCAGCCGCTCGGTTTGCAGAATCTGTTGCCCCCAGCAGATACCGATCTTGCCTCCTGGTGGTTGTCCTCACGTTTGCAGCTTACAGCTACCACCAAGAAGGGCTTTGATGCGCTAGTGCTGCTGATCACTTGGATGTTGTGGAAGGAGCGTAATTGCCGAGTTTTCGATAGCAGATCGACGACCTCCCAGAACCTGGCCCTTGCTATCCGCTCCGAGGGCAACCTCTGGCTCCAAGCTGGTTACAGGGCCCTGTCGTGCTTGCTGGCTTTGGTCAGTAACTGATGCTTCAACAATGTGTCGTCAAGTCGCTCAATTAGTCAAAATGTAGACATCCAATTGTAATCCGTCGGTGTTTGTGTTGGCGCCTGGCACCTCGCCGAGGCAAGCCGCTTGTTGTTTTCCGAACCTTCTACTTAATGAAATACGTGAGCACGATATCGAAAAAAAATGCTTCTAGTCTATAGATAGTATATGTGTTGTGATTTGTGAAGTTTCTTCTCAATTATATGCAAGTCAGCAATGGTTCCCTGTCTCTTAGGACCTAGCTTGTATTAAAAATATAGGGAGGTCAGCCAAGCACGAGTCAATTCATATTTCATAAACTAAACCCCTCTCCTGCATTGGAAGGAGGGTTCGTATCTCACTTGGGATTTAAAATTTAGGTGGAATTTCATCGAAATTTTACAAAATTTGGTAATTCCTGGGGAGGCCAAAAAAAATTCTAATAACCAAATCAAAACCCCTGATCTCAGCACAAAGGCTTCAGTAAGCAGTTGATGTGCTGATGCTTGCTCCTTTCTTTTGAGGAATGGCTGATGAACACTGACATATATCAGAGCAAGACTTGAGCAAAGCTTGTCTAGTTTCTACTTACTAGTGGTAATGCACGCGTGGCGCGCACTTGGTAATTTTATAAATTATTTAAGAGGGTTTGAATATAGTTAGAAAAATAAATTAAATTAATTAATATTGGCCCTTCATGCTCTCACTCCCTCATCATATCCTTCATGCATATGCAATCATCTTTGATTTTTTTCACAGGAACTAAACAAACAAATGGGTAGATATAGTTATTTAATTGTTTATTAGCACAAGAGACCCCAACAATAGTTTCAAGAGTTCTCTCATAGGAACAAGATAGGCTAGTTGGAGTTGTGGCGTCTTCCAATTCATTCAGCAGCCTCTTCTTCTAGTCTTCGGATTTCTCCTGCGCATTCTTCATCTGCGGAAGCAACCAAAGCAACAACTTCTTAGTGTGAGGCAGCAGCCATCAACTAATGTATGGTTACTACATCCAATAGCATAGCAATCATTTCCTGAGGGAGGAGTAGAATTTCTTTCTTTCTTTTTTAAACGCGCATACAACAACAGCAGCTGCTGCCAACTCACCATGATAACAAGGATTCAAACAAAAACAGCGACAAAGTCCGGGAAGAGAGTCAGCGCGTGCTTGATGTGTCCATGTCCCCACTGTGCTCCGTCTCAATGGTCTCCTGGGTGTCAAACACCATATATCCCAGGAAAACCAGGAGGCCCAAGTAGAGCTGCAGCAGTGTAGGTGGCCATCCATGACCATGTTGCAGTCAGTCAGCTTGGTTCCATGCTTTCTTATTACAATGCGACGAAGAATTTAAGTTTGTAGGGTATAATAAGCAAGTTTATTCACCTTGAACGAAGGTGGAACTGGTGTGACCAAAGATTGAAGTAGCAAACTGCAGCCAGAGAAGAATGGAGAGGCCAGATGAAAGCAGACCGCTGAGGTACAGGTACTCCCTGCACTTGGCGATGATGGCAGTGCCAGAGAAGCATCCAAAAGCAATTGCGGTTCCGACGAATGCCGTCACAAGAATCCTGGTAGATGAGCAGAGCAAAAGCAGTTCAATAAAGCAGACCACAAGTACTCTCTCGATCAGCTCAAGAGATCTTCATTCTTTTGGTGTAAATTCTAGCTAATGCAATGTGGCCATCCTGGCATAATGTCATCTAAACTACCAGTACCAGATTGAACCGAATACAACTAACCAATGACTAAACAAAAACAAAATTCCTTTCTCCACAAGTATTACTTACAAGTATTGTATATATTAGATTCGGAATTTCACCGCTTAGCCTTTTTTGAGCCAAGTCCCTATGGTGCATATCACACATTAGATTAAACCCAATTAATACCACATAATACTTTACTAGGACTTACAATATATTCAAATTTGGAAGTTGAGAGTGTGTCAATGGAATCACCCCTGCCAGCTCAATGCACCACCATACATGTGTCAAAATCCTATAAAAACAGGAAACAACACCAATACACCATACATGATGAAACAAGCATTGTGGATCATTTTGTTTAACTTATATCTGGAATGAATAATATAACTTACAAGTTCTCAACTCTCAAGGTGCTTCAACTTAGATATGGACAATGGTGTATCAGCATTGCTGTTAGGAAGTATTTCATATAGAAATATAGGGATGGTAATCAAGGGCACAAGAAATGCCAATTTCACAAGGAAAAACCCTGCAAAAGAAAAGAAAAAAAAAGAGGGGGAGCCCTGAGGCTAAAAAGACCATTTTTGAAAAAAGAAAATAACATAAGCAAAACTGAAACCTACTTACATAGTTTCAAGCAACAAACAATCACCAATCTCATCAGGGTTCTGTCCCGAGAGTCCATTCGACTTCAAATCGTCATCTGAAATTCATATGAGGAAACAATGCACCATCACTACATCAAAGTTTGCAGCTATAGAAAGAAGACAGATACTGCTCCAATTCAGAAATACACTTTAGAATTACAATTTAGTTATTTTGTATATAGAAAAATGTCACAAGTTATCTGTATCAAATTTTATTGACAAGCATACAAAAAAATTTAAAAGTAATCCCTTCAACAATAGGCAATTTGGTTGAATCAGTGATGATACATTTGCGAACATGGAAGTAAATTAACTCTAGACCATGCATTATGCAAAGTAAAATTTGTCACGTTATTTTTTTTAACACAAATACTGCCCTAGAATAGCTGTATGTAAGTAAACTGACACTGAGGATCAAAAAGCAGAAACATAATATAAAAAGCTTTCGGCATAAAGTACTAATTGCTGGACCCTAATCTCAGGGTTGGATTACAGCAAGCTGCACATATTAGTCATCGTAGCCACTACTGGGGCTTCGATCCCGTTTAATTTGCAAGCTGGTATTATTTGGAACTCATGACAGTAGCAGGCTAAATAATAGCAGTATAGATCAATAGGTGAAAGTAGAAGAGAAAGCAATCCAGTTTGATTGGCAAGATGGTATTATTTGGAACCCATGAATCAGCAGTATAGACCAATAGTTCAAAGCAATCAAGGAAATAGACAGACTCAAGATCAGTCAGAAAAATAGATAGACATACATAATTTCTTCTCCATCCTCTCGCACAACCCCTAAGCATGCCACTATTAATGATTTTTTCAACCCCTCCCCTCGATGGCTCGATGGAAGTTTCAGTCCGATTTCGGATCAAAACAGGAAAAACAGCGATGCATCAAACCCTAAAAAATTGAATGCACAGAATCCTAATCTAGAGGGCATCAGCTAAAGATTGGATGTGGAGGCAGAATCGCACGGCTGTTAACCTGAAGGTCGCTCGAAGATGACGTGCGCAACATGGAGGATGCTTAGCCGATCTCCATCTCCCCAAGCGCCGCTGCAGCAGCCTGCTCCATCAGACCATCACCGGCCACCTGGCAAAAAATGGCGCGGAGGGGAGATTGACAACAGAGAAAGCGTGTTTCATCACATAAGTATGGTCCTTTTCGTCTTGGGGTCCACCTGTCAAATATCTATCAACTGTTAGATGTAAAATTAAAAGACATCCGAGGGTGGAGAACTTGGGTGGGTAGGGAGTTTTTATGTGACAGGTATTTTTCAATTCATTCGCTCCTTTATAGTGTAGAATAGATAGATATAGATAGATAGACTAGGACCCAAAAAGATTGAAGCATGTTGTGAACTGTCTATTTTTCTTACTCGATTGACTATGCCTGCAGGACGGAAATATTTCATTGTTCTGAAACACCGGCCGTCCACCACTTGGGCACCTGAGAGCCGTCCGATCTGAGTTATGCAGCCTGGATCAGACCAATGGCAGAGGCGCCGGCAAAGGGCGAAGCAGAGGCCGGCTGCTCACTTGGTCGGCAAAGTATACAACCTGCATTCTGCAACTACTAGCAACAGCACGAGGCAGAGTGCAGCAATAGCATCTGCAAATTGGCAGCTGCAGCTAGCACTAGCAGCGTCTGTAATTAGCGTCTGCTATCGCATTCGCACGGTCACAGATTGTGACCTACCTCGTTCTAGGTACGATTCAGGCCATGAAACAACAACAGTTAACATACCAACACAATCATCAATCCATACATGTCAAACTTTAACCTTTACTGATAATATTTACAAGATTTCAGAAGGCCAAATGCTTCAACAGTTTTGAAACTACATACCATTTGAGCATCACTACCCTTTTTTCTCAATCATGCAGGAAAAGAAGTAATGTCGCTCAAATGTTATGTAGTTGCAGAACTGTTGAAGCATTCGGTTTTCTTTTTTTTCACCTTTTTTTCTATATTTTTCATTTTTTTAGAGGAAGCATTCATCTACCTAGAATGTTATGCATCAGTAAAACTTGGTGGAAAGGAGGCTGCTGAGGAGATAAAATTGTTGGCACCTCCTTACCACAGCTACTAACCCCCTTGGCTTGGCAGGGAGACCACCTAACTAATCAGCCCATCAGTTCTTCTTAGGTAAGTATTTAGGTGTTGAGCGCCTTGCCTTCCTAGTAAGAAGGTGGTCGGAGTTCCTTTAGGCGTCGAACAACATGCTTCATTGTGGGCCTAGAAGCAAGAGACTCCTGCGTGCACCGGACCGCCAGGTTCAGGAACTCAACCAGATCATCATGCGGGGCTTTCTCCCACAAGCCTTCGATGAAGAACTCGCGAACCCTGCTTCTTTGGATAAGCTTCACAGCCCAGCTGACAATATTGAAACCATTTCCATATGGAGAAAATGATGGGTCCAGTGTTTTCTTGTCTGAAATCAGCTCCAGCAGCACAACTCCGTAGCTGTAGACATCTGCCTTGTCAGACACGCGGCATGTCATTGCATACTCAGGAGCCACATAACCAAAAGTACCAGCAACATCCGTTGTCGCATGCGTTTCTGAGTTCCGGAGAAGCCTCGCCAATCCAAAATCAGAAAGGTAGGCGTTGCATTCATTGTCAAGCAATATGTTGTTTGGCTTGACATCTCGGTGCAGAATGCGGGGGACGCATTCGTCATGCATGTACGCAAGCGCACGAGCAACATCCAGAGCAATCTTGTGAAGCCTTCTCCAGCTGATTGGCCTCTTACCCCTCTCTTGTATGAACCTTTCCAGGTTGCCACCTGGCAGATAGTTGTATATCAGAAACATCTCCGACTCGCTGATGTGGTATCCCAAGAGAGTGACAAGATGAGGATGACGGCATTGCCCAAGGATCCTCACTTCTGCTTGGAACTCCTTGTCGCCATGCTGCTTCCCAATAGCAAGCCTCTTTATTGCCACAAGAACTCCAGGTGCCACCTCGGCTCTGTATGTCGCGCCAAAGCCGCCGGTGCCAATGCAGTTGCTAGCATTGAAATTCCCAGTGGCGCGGACCACAGTCTCATATGTCAGGGGGGCTCCAATTTCAACATCGGCGAAAATCTTGATTTCCCTTCCCCTAAAAGAGCGCTTTGATGCTCTCTGAGGCCATTTCCTTGTGCAGATGCACAGGGTGAGTGCAACTAACAGAACCACAACAATGGCTGATGCTGAAGCTATGGCAACAATCTCTTTGATACCCAAGCCACCATCACCATTGCTGCTACTGCTGCTGCTGGGGCTGCCATTAGAAGTGCCTGGCCTTGTCTCAGTCAGCTCACGGATAATTGTTGGCATAGGAGAAACAGGAAACAGTTCACCTGTAACTGAATGAACAGTAACTACATGAACTGGTGAGGCGGCAGCAGCAGCATTAACACCAGCAGTTATCTCCTCCTCCCCAGATAGTTTGTTGTTGTCAAGCAGTAAAACAGTTTGATTTCGCAGTGCCACAAGATCAACAGGAACCACCCCTGACAGAGAATTGTTGGACAGATTAAGAAATTCCAGCGACCCCAGCTGGCCCAAACCGGAAGGTATCTCACCGCTGAAATTATTGCCGGACAACGAGAGAAATTTCAGGTTCTTGAGCTCCGCGAGGCCTGAGGGAAGCCGGCCGTGGAGCAAGTTGCCGCTGAGATCCATCCGGACGAGGCTTCCGCAATGGAGGAGCGCCGGCGGCACGCCGCCAGTGAGCCTGTTCCCGGACAGGTTCAGAACCCGGAGACGCGCGAGCTCCCCAATCCGCGGCGGGATGGTTCCAGCCAACGAATTGGAGGACAGGCACAGGCGCCGGAGCGCGGCGCAGCTCCCCAGCGCCGGCGGGATTGCCCCGCTCAGCCGGTTCCCGGAAAGGTCCAAGCTTTTCAGCCCTTCGGGGAAGGTGGCCGGCAGGCGGCCACGGAGGGAGTTGCCGGCGAGGTTGAGCACCTGGAGGCGCCGCAGCCGCCAGAGCTGCGGAGGAATCTCGCCGCGGAGCCCCGCCGAGGGAAAGGCGAGCGATTTGAGCTCGGTGAGGCGAGCGACCGCCGGGGACAGCTCCCCTGCGAGGCGGCCGCCGGGTGGGGACGGGAGCGCGAGGGCCACGACGCGCCCGGACCCCGCGTCGTCGCAGGTGACCCCCGGCCAGGAACAGTGGTGGGCGCCGGACTCCGGCGACCACTGGCGGAGAGCGTCGACGGAGCCGGCGCCGGAGGTGAGGCCGCGCTTGAGGTGGAGCAGCGCCGGCATGTCGTCCTGCTGCTCCGGCAAGGACGACGGCGAGGACGCGACGGAGGCGGTGAGGAGGAGGAGGTGGAGAGCGAAGAGGACGGCGGTGGTGGCGGAGCGGCGGAGGAAGGCCATCTCCGGCCAGTCGCCGACGCCTGACGAGGACCAGGACCTGGACCTCCTCGAAGCGCCAAGCGGGACGGGACAGCTTTGTCTGGGTCAGTCAGTGGAGACCGAGTGACTCTCCGAGTCTGCCGACTGCTGTCGAAGTGTCGATGACTCGGAGACTAGTACTACTTGTACACGCGGTGGGGCCCACGCCTGGGGGCTGAACTTTCATAGGTCGGGAACGGAGGAACGTGGAGTGATTTTCAGCAAATGCGAGGGGGCAGAATGCGAGGAGAGTAAGGCAGGTGAGTACTGAGGAGGGTATGCGCCTGGACGCCTCCATGTGTGTTCATAGGAAGGAATTTCAGTTTCACAAAATCACGCAAATTTAACCATGCGGATTTAATTTTGCCTACGATTTAGCAGTGGCACAAGGTAGTTCGGTAGTGTAGTTACCAAGTTTTTTTTCCTTTTCTTTATTAGCATCTCGTATATACTGATAAAATTTCTTGTTTCCAAAAAAATGGAAAGACGAACACTCATCACTGTCGTCGAACACGAGCATTCCAGGGATGCTCAACCGTCCTGGTTAGGGGGGCATTTGTGTGTGTTGATAGATAGACCGTACAACAAAACAAATATTTAATTACTATTAGTTCCACGGATGCTCAACCGTCCACGGATCGTATTAGTCATACTTACCAATCATAATACAGTGTTTTTCTTTCACAACAAAATAACATCAGTCAGCTTATAAGCCACCCGAACAGGGTGGAATATGTATAGGTTACCTATGCTTGTATGCATATCTTCACATTGTATATGGTTGTAGGACACGTTACCTCAATAAGCAGCAATGCCTTTCTTAAGCCTGTTTGGCTGGTATTAAAGCCGGCTAGATAAATTGGTTGAAGCTGTTTTGTTATGAGAGAAAAATACTGTAGATTCTATCTAATAAGCCGGCTGATAAATTCAAACGAACAGGACAAAGCTTGTTTCTAGAACATACCAGTGACTTCATTCAAGTCTCAGACACTTTTATTTTTTTTATTTCTCTCACTTAAGTGTCCACTTGTCCGTGGTCTCATATTCTACAAACAACTCTATAACTATTTTTAGTAAATAATATATTTATAAACTTATAGGACACACCACCTTTCCAAGTAGTACATCTTGGGTATTAGTACCACCCATAGAGACACATGCACCACGTTTTGCCTATGATTTAGCAATGGCACAAGTAATTTGCATAGTTAGTTACCACCTTTTTTCTTTACTTTATTATAGCATCTCGTAATGATAAAATTTCTTGTCCCCTCGAAAAAAAAGTGGAAAGAGAACTGTGAATGGTCAGGCCATACACATACGACACCACGTTAGCCGTGCATGGGTCGTGGGACACACTACCTCACTAAATGGTGGTGCATTTTCTTTGATTTGGCACATATTGGTGATTTTCACTAAAATAGCTTTGGTGTCTTTTCTTTGACTCGGGGACATATTTCTCTTGGCAAGCGAGCCATAGATGGTATCTTTGTTGTGTTGGGCAGTTAGGCCATACGATAAAAATAGATACTTATTATTAATTTGGTCATGGAGAGTAACATCCGCATGAGTTACATGTAGCTTGCATTCATAATTGCACGTTGCTTATGGTTGTGAGACACACTACCTCACTAAGCGGTGGTGCCTTTTCTTTGTTTCTAGAAAATGTCGGTGACTTCATTTATTTTCCCATGCATTTTGTCCATTTATTTTATATTTCTCTCACCTAAGTGTCCACTTGTCCGTCGTCTTATGTTGTACGAACAAATTTATAAACTATTTTTAATAAACAATATTATAAACTTCTAGGACACATCATCCTTCCAAGCAACACATCTTGATCATTGATAGCATCATGGAGACACCAATTTTTCATTTAGGCGATTGTGTCGCTAAGAAGAATTTTGGCTTGTAGGACACGTATTCTTTCTCGCATCCATAGCAAACCAATAAGGAAGGGCTGTCTCTAGGAATTTGGGGTCCGAGAGCGAAATATAAGTTGGGGCGCTCATGTTCATCGGGGCTGGAATGTTGCGAATGGCGCAGCGGCAGAATTACAAAACTACAAAACGAGATCACAACAGCATGGCCGATGGGCGAACGGAGATACGGAGTCATGTAGAAGCAATTGCGAGTCTCTATGTTTCAATTGCCACAGTCGGCAGCTAAACATGATTGCGTCATAAGTTATGGGTTAGAAACAAGAAACTAATAGAGAAGTGCTCGACGCCCGAGCTAAATACTCAAAATTTGAACTGATATTAGCAGCCATGGGATGTAAATTTTGGGCCCTCTGCCTTTTGGGGGCCTGAGCGGTCGCTCGCCTCGCTCATGGCCTTCAATGGCCCTGGACTAAGGAAATCATAAGCATTCACGGCTTCACGCTGCCTGCTACTAAAATGATGGGACATGGCTTCTCGAGTTAAAAAAAACACTTTAGCCTCGATATTAGGTTCATGAGCTGATTATTGCACTTGCCGCTTTCCTGAGCAGAATTCCCTTTTTTCATTTTAACTATTAACTTTTTTTTTTAAAAAAAGTAGGTGAGCTGTGTAACAGAGACAAAGAGTTTAATCAGTTCTGTCCAAGTACCCCCTCCCTTAGGCCTATTTGCTTGGGTTAAACAAAACATAACACAGGACGACACACCACCTTGGCAAACGGGCGGTGGCACCTCGCTTTTATTTGGTTTGATATGGCTTCCCCTTGAACAAGTGATTTTATCTTTTTCTTATTTGTTTCTTTCTTTTAAGTAGGTGTGAAACCAGAGATAAACTTGTTGGCTATATCATATTCTTGGATAACCTTATAAATATTCTATCTAAAATAATAATTATTATAGGTTTATTGGGACACACCACCACGTCGAGTGGTGGTATGTTGCAAAACCACCCCATAAGTCATCAATTTCGTCCTTTCCATATTTACTTCGTTCATTTATCAATTGCTGCAGGTAGAAGTAAACTCCTTGATGTCTTATGTTATATAAGGATAATACTATAGACCAATTTCTTTTTAGAAAACCATTATAGACCATGGTCCCTCCCTCCACCCCCACGTTCTTAAAAACTATTATATCCATACATTTATGCATACATCATGTATGCCTCTGGTCGATAGAATTAGTTAGTTTTGCTTTATATACCCTGCAACCCCACTTCATAGGTTACATGTAGCATAGAGTGGGGCTACCGCTTTTCTAAGCGGTGGTATCTTCTTATTCAGTTTGATAACATGTCCATTGTTTCTTCTTAATATATAATAATCAAATTTAAGCAAGTGTGAAATCAGTGATAAAACTCCTCTGTCTTATAAACAATTCTATAAACTATTATTTAAAAAAAGAAAAATAATTATTTATAGACGTACAGAACATAGATTTCGTCTCATTCTTTCTTACATGGCTCATCTTAATTGCTAGAGATAAACCTCTCGACGTATTTTCTTTTTTGACAACGAACTCATCTCGAGTAAACAATTGTGGACCTTACGTGTTTACCTAGCATGCTTAGCATAGAGGGTATACATATACCTTTACACATATGTCTGAGTTCCTTGACAATGCAACAAATAAAATGATGTTGCATGACAACATAGGGATAAAGAGCTTGAGAATTGAGATCCTAATAAGTATACAAATATAGTACTTTTGAAGTGGTTAGTGTGAGGCACCGTATGTATGTATTGATCCATCATCGTGCATATCTTAGGTGTGCATGCGAGATTAATGCTCCCGCCGTTCTAAATTATAATTCGCTTGAATTTTTTTTACCTCAAATTTGACCACTCGTCATATTCAAAAAAATTGTACAAACATAGTCAAATTTAAGTTATTCTTAAGAACTTTTGTTAATAAAAAGCCATAGAAAAAAATGATATTTTACAACAAAATTTTGAATAAGATGAGTGATCAAAATTATGATAGAAAAAGTCAAAAAAATTATAATTTGGAACGGATTTAGTAATCAGATAAGACTCGGAGTCTCGGAGGAAAGTCATGAGCGAGCAAGCGGACGAAGACGGGATGTGGTGACGTCATGCCGTTGTTACATTAATTTGCTGCATTTTTTTGATCGAGAAAAAATGCAATCGAGGAGAAGAGCAGCGCGCCGCGGCCGACCAATGCAATGCAACTGACGGAAGCCAAAGGAAACGGAACTTTCCAACTGCCGCTCTTGTTTTTCTATTAATAAAATAAAATATATAAAATATATAAAATACTGCTCCTGCCTCTCACTCCTCAATCGGCTGCCGCGTGGGCTCCGCTGTGACGGGTCCCGCAAGCAGGTGACCCAGTGCTTGACGGGTGGATCCCACGCAAAGGTGCGATGCGACGCATCCCTTCGCCTGGGCCTCTTCGTCTCGGAAATCGCGGCGGGTGGTCGAAAACGGTCACGGAAGCAGTTAGTTCAAGATATTTCTATATTTTAGCCGTTAAAGAGTAAAAAATGATTGTAAAACTAATTAAAAATAATAATTTTTTATGTTTAGTAAAATTCAAAAACAGTATAATAGTATAGAAAACGATATTATAATATAAAAAACAAAAACGATCGATTTGAAATATTTTCGTACCGTTTTTATCATTACGCAGCACTGGCGGCGGTCGTCGGCCGAGTCATATCGGCGACAACGCGGCGGTCTCCCTATCTCCGACGACGAGGAATCAATCCGATCCTCCGTGGCGGTCGTCGCCCCCGCTCCGGCCGGTCTCCCGCGCGTCTCGTTCTCCGGCGTGGAGCTGCAGCATACATATACGCGCACGAACGCCTCCATGCATGTTCCCAATATTTCTTCAAACTTGCAGGAAGAAATTTTGCAGAATCACGCGGAATAAGCCATGCGGATTTAATTTTGCATATGATTTAGCAATGGCGCAAGTAATTCCGTGGTATAGTTATCACCCTTTTTCCCCTTTTATTAATTTATTTATAGCATCTCGTAATGACAAATTTCTTGTTTCCAGAAAAAAGGTGGAAAGA